TGTACACTATGCCTCTTGTCGTCAGCCTTCAACATAATATATGCAATTGTTCTGGTTACTGTATTGAGATAGTTTGCTGCAATGCTTTATATTTGTATTGKTTCTTTATTGATATGATTTAGTGTCATTTACAGTACGAATAGAAATATATATGTGTGTTCGTCTCATGACCCGGGTGTCATGTTACAATGACATACTTTGATATTACGTTACAATGATATAATATGACAGTTACCCCCAAAAACGCAATGTATTTTTGGGGATGGGATGCACTGCCTGTATCAATAATATTAGGGGACCAACGTACACAGCCCAAGACGTCTGGGTTTTGGTTTCCGTCGATCAATGAAATTAACTATCTCAGATAGTTGGAAATTTAATTACAGCTAGTATATAACGGATTAAAAATATATTCATTCTTGCTGTTATTTTTTCACTTGCTTCCTGCTGAYCTGTGCACATTTTTTATCAGGCAACTCGTTTTGGTGAAAAGGCCGCTGAATAYGTTGCAAACCTCGCAGAAAACATCAGAAGTTTGTTGTTGGTGGAAGATCTAGCCGACTCAGTCAAGGTCAAGACTGTGATTATATGTTATAGGGTCACTAACATAATCAGGAATGTCGTCAAACAYAAGCCCATTCATATCAGTCAGTGATCGCAATTGCCATCATCATGAATATCATCACCAACATCATCATCTTTATTATACCTTTATCATCGTCATCTTCTTCTTTATCATCGTCATCATCATCCCGTCATCATCAGCATCAGCATCAGCATCATCATCACCATCACCACCACCATCATCACCATCAACATCATCACCATCACCACCACCATCATCAACATCATCACCATCACCACCACCATCACCACCATCATCAACATCATCACCACCACCACCACGATCACCACCATCATCAACATCATCACCATCACCACCACCATCACCACCATCATCGACATCATCACCATCACCATAATTACAATTTATTGCCATGCATTGATGCAAGCGTCTATGTCCTTTTTGTCTCTACTTTCTTCCTCGTTCTTCTAAATTAATTTGTTTTTCTGTTTCAGCTTCTAATGCTGTTGTACATCCTATCATATGTCGCACAATGGTTTAGTGGTGTTACACTTACTTTCGTTGGTAAGCCTATGCAAACAGGTTTTATCGATGCACTTTTATTTATGTAGTTTTACGTGTTAAGGTTGTATTTAGTCCAGACGCTGTACCCTCTCCTTTGCCGATCCGCTTTTGTTTTTGGGCTTCCTGTGTCGCGGGTACAGCGTCTGGACTAGGTTGTATTTTATGTGTTACGTTTTCATGTCATGTTGTYTATCGTAAAATCTTTATGCATTATTGCTATTATTAATGATATCTGAAGTACTGAATGCTAACTTTCTTTTCTCTTTTTAGCCTTCATTGGTTTGTTTACGATCCCAAAGATTTATGATATGTACAAGGTATGGGGTTAAAATAGAGAACGAAGGCAGTTAGCTATATACGACTAACCGCTAACTAGATGATTTGCGCATGCGTACCGATCAAGAACTGAGCCCTTATTCCAAGACAGCAGCTACATGAGTGGAAGTGTTGAGCTATAATGAATCAATGAGTTATTTATGATTTATATAGCGCCCTTTCTATATGGATATAAACTAAGGCGCTTCGCATTGAGTTGTCAATTTCACTGCTTTTTATACAATTTATAAACATGAGATTGTTAGTATGAGGTGTAGGCACTGAGGGTGGTCGCTGCCAGGGTTTCTTTACGTCCTCAGTGGTTCTTTTACAACCCTCCGATATTGGTTAGTAATGATGAGGTGTGAAGAAACGTCATCCGAGCCACAAATGCAGCACTCTCTCGTCAGTTATCTTAAGACCCTGAGTGTTGGTCCCGCCGGGACCGGTTTCATCTTTTTAGGAAGGGGGGTGGGCCGGAGGGATCACTATACTGACAGTAATGTAAAATTTCTTGCCACCTTTTATTCTGTCTGCTTAAGAAAGTGCCCTTCCCTTTAACTTTGTTGGATTTTTGTCCATCCCCTTAATGTAGTGTGAAATATTTGACGACCTCCCTTTTTGACMGAATAGATATTTAATGGCAATCGGTTTCAGTCTCCTCCCCTCTCTGGTTAAAAATTGTTTTGGGTCTGGAAGGTTCGCCCCGCCCCGCCCCTGCACTTGGGTACCTTGGCACCTTGGTGACTAGGATAACAGGACGAAGCCTCAGACGAGTATTTAACGCGTTTATCTTTAGGTTGAAATCAACAAAGCCCTGGAGAAGATTCAAAAAGCAATCGATGATCTTCTAGACAAGTAAGCTGTATTGAATGAACGCATTGAGATGAACTTTTGATAATACGTTATACTAAAGGTGCCAACTGTGGGATGCACCCAACGACAAAACCAGAGTATATTGAACATTAGCATATACCAACTTGTGTACTTCCTAAGAACGCTCGCGCTCATTGGTTAATTGGAGGTGAATATTGTACAATATTCACCTCTGAGTCTCGAAATATTGAGTCGGCAACAAAATGGTATCTGCCGGCAATCGTTTAGGAAATTGAAAAAAAATGAAAGTAAATGCCATTCCTATCAATACTAAAAAGTCAACCAAGTATACACCCTTTTCATAATGGCTRATGAACGCACGGAAACGAGGTCACCCAGTCATCTTGCAAGGTTGAGCCAAGCTGCTCATTCAAAATAAAGGCTGTTAGCGCTAATTCAGATCAAAACAAAGGTCATGTTTTTATACTTTTCTTCTTTAAAGTYATTTCATGTAACTTTATATCTTTTATCGTGAAATAATGACTGGGTGACSTCGTTTTCGTGCTCTTGTCAGCCATTATGAGAAGGGTGTATGGCCTAAAAGTTTTGCTAAAAGTTTTGCGTGAATTTGTCACGCAACCTAAAAGTTTCYGTTTGTTTGTTTTTATTGAATTATTTTATATAAAAATAAGCTACTCTGTACACAAGTTGGTATATGCTAAAACAATTATTCGCCTCAGGCTCAGTGAATATGGAGAATATTTACCTCGCCGCTTGAAGACTCGCGTCTCGGTAAATATTCCCCGATATTCACTTCGGCTTCGGCGAATAATCGTTAAATATCCAAACATGTATGATGGTCATTGTGATGATAATGATGATCATGCTGATTATGGTGATGATGATCATGATGATCATGATGATGGTGATGATGATGATTATAATGATGACCATTACAATAAATTTAATTTCACGATGGTACATTTGGACAGTCCACACTGATAACATACACGTATACACACACATATATATACACACTCGAACTCTAATACTTTGACACACTTTAAAGACATATATACACATATGTTTCGGTGCTATTTCATGTTGTTGAAAAATAAACATGAAACAAGGGACAACTCGCCTCAAAACATGCTAAAGAGCCTCATTACGTACTCTAGGACAATTTGKTAACAATGTTTTGCCGAGAAAGGATTCAAACTGTATATCCAAAACATGTCAAGGTTTTAGAAATTCGGTGTATATATTATTAGAATACCACCAACTACCCCACCAGGACCTACACGCTAGAAACGCAGTAGAACTGGTATTTGATTTATTGCTACCGTAAGTTTTCCCAGGTTTTTCTCTTTCGGGTTTACCGTAGAGTTGGGGAAGCCCTTAACTTCTRATATATCGTTTATTCCTAAGGACCGAGAAACGATACACAGCGAAAGCTAGCTTAGTGGTTGACATGCAGAAGGTCCCAGTTAAGGATACGAGCTTATTTGAAATATATATAGGAGAATATATGAGAAASCCTGAGTATCCTGAAGAGAAAAGCCTGGGAAAACTCACGCGGTACCAACCAGTCACTTACTAGTTCAACTACTTTTCCATAGTGATATATAYACTTATTTWAAAAAAGTTAGTCACCAAAAACCTAGAAAGCTGTGATCGCTGAAAATCATGGGGAAATATTTATATCCAACAAGTAAAGCTTTTGACAAAAACTGCAGCAGTTGAGGATACTCAGAGGAGGTGAACTTGTAACTGGTAGAATATCTCAAGTCCATCAACAGTTATCAAGCGGTTGAAACATGTAAAATGTATCTATCCATAATCCTCGTTGRTCTCAGCTTTGTAGCTTTTTAGGTGACTAACTTTATTRGAATAAGTGTATATAACTAAGTTCATAGTACCCAATTCACTGAGTGATTCAATACCCATATCTGTCGCCAGGATCAATGCAGCAGTACCAGTCTCAAGGGGGAAACCAGCTACAGCTAAGGACACCAAGAAGCCAGACCAAGAATCGGAGAAAGATAAATCAGCTTGAAACTAGATATCAAAAATAACACTAGGGCCGTAACCAGGGGGGAGCACAGGGTGCACGTGCATCCCCCCCCCCCCATAAAAGCTTAAGGTCCACTCATCTATCTCCTTTTGCTTTAAAATTGCATGTAAATGTTTTTTGATTGAATGAAGACCACTTTCCATCTGCATATTGTAGCATCTTTAAGAATCACTCACCCATTATAGTCCTTTTTATTTATTTTCTACTTTTTTATTCTATTTTATTTATTT